CCCCCGACGGCACAGAGAGCCTCGCGGCGATGCTCCACAGCCCCCGCGAGCTGCCCAGCTCTGAGACCCCACGCCAGGGCTCGGCAGGGACCCTCGCGCCGCAGGGCACATCCAGCACGGCTGCCCTGGTGGCGGCACGTGGGGAGCTGGGACCACCCGTCATCCCAGTTCTATCAACCCCGAGTCACTCCCTGGCTCCCCCGGCCCCCATTCCAGCGCATTTGAGGGCTGTGCGGGGGTTGGGATCCCTGCAGCTGACGGCTTGAACTTCACCCCCGGGCTCATTCCTGCACGCTGCCGGGTACGAAGGGTCGGCGTGGGAGGAGAGCCCCTCGCTCTCTCTCGGCGTCCGTATTCAAAGGAGCCAAAGTCTTTTGCAGACAGATTAGCCTGGATGCGTAATGTGTGCTTATAATGACAGTTATTATTCTATTCATTTATTATTGAAGAATAACTAAACCCCAAAAGATTTATGAAGTGCTGTCCGGAGACGCAAAAGAGGACCCTGTAGTTTGGGTTTCCTTCCGGTGAGCAAGTGAAGGTCCGATGTTTGCAGGCGCTTACCCATGCAGCGCTGCACTGGGGCCAGGGGGCAGACACCCAACCCACACCTCCCCGGGCGCCCATCGCGCACCCCGGCCGGGGCAGCGTGGGGCCAGGAGCCGACCAGCGAGCATCACGGCATCAAGGCAGGGCAAGGAGGCAGCTCCCTCCCCTTTCCGCCCCCCATCTCTGTCCTGGCTGTGCTTCTGCCAGGGAGGGGACCGTGGGGGAAGTCACTGATGCTACCTACGTGGGTGCCAAGGGGGTGGCTCCGGGGGGACCCACGGGATTTCTCCCGATTTATGTTGGAGGAAACGAGAGCTAAGCAGGGCTCAGGGCAGCAGCTGCAGTAAAGGACACGGAGAAGCCTTTTCGTGTTGCGGGCTGTCGGTGCTGTGCCCCGGCTTTCCCGGCACAGCTCTCGCCCTGTGCAGAATGGGGATGCGATTTTGGAGTCAGGGCAGTGGGAGAGGGTGGCGGGAGCCCTGCTCAACCTCTGCCTGCGTTTTCTGCTGTGGTTCAAAAGGTGCTTTCAGCGCCCACATGGAGGGATTTTGCCACTTTCTTATGTGTGATAGAAAAGGATTCCTGCGCCGGGGGGGAGAGGAGTTTGCTGAGACCGTGCTGTGACCCGGGGGCTGTGGCCAGGGATGCTGGGGTGGGGACAGAGGGTCGGTACTCACGTCGATGCCCGGCTTCCCTGGGGGCCCGTCTGGACCAGGGGCTCCGGGCTCACCCTTGGTACCCTTCAAAAGAGAAGAGGCATGGGGGCGGGTTGAAAGGAGCTCCTCCAGAAAGGATGAGAGCGTCAGCGAGCTGGGGGGAGGCACATGTACTCACCGGGGACCCAGGGGCTCCGGCAGAGCCTTTGTCACCCTGGGGAAAGAGAAGGTTATAAAAAGGGGTCTGTCACCCCACAGAGCCAGGTCCAGCGGTGCGGGGGGGCTCAGGACCCGACCCGTGTCTCCCATCCACCTCCCCAAATGAGATGCTGGATCCCCCCACACGCCGGCCAGGTCAGGATGGGGCCGGCATTGAGAAGAGAGGGTTGTGCTGGGGTTGTGGGAGGGTTGCGGCTGTTCTGGGTATAAATAGCACTAAAATAACACCCTGGGGCAGGGGGGAGCGGGGGCAAGGCTGGGAGAAAGGGCGCTTTCTGCTGGCTCACAGATCTCCCCTCTGTTCAGGGAGCCACAGCCGCTTGCCACAGCCCTTGGCCACGTTGCCGCTCTGTGGGCACCGGACCTGGGTGTCTTGCTCCCTGCCAGCCCCCCCGGCTCCCCCTCCTCTCTGGGCAGGGCTGTGCTCATCCCTGTACCCAAACCCTCTGAGCATCCTCTGCTGCCCGGACGGGGGAGCACCCAGCACTGAAACCTCCCTGCCGCTGTGCTCCCCAAAAAGCATTTCGGGACCCCTTTCCCAAAACAGTCAAGAGGCC